TCTCCTAAGCTTCAAGCTAAATGGGACGGACCGTACCGGATTGTGACAAGGATCAATGATGTAACCTACCGGATACAGAAAGGTGCCAGAGGTACTCCTAAGATTGTCCATGTGGATCGACTGGCGCGTTATTATGGGGCCAATAATGCTCGGGACGAGCATGTCTTAGGAGGGGGCAGTGTTACGCGCCACTATTAATGTCTTGTACATGGCAACACTAGTTACACTAGCGCCCCCTAGTGTCGAGTAAATGAAAGTATTGCGCGCCACTATTAATGTCTTGTACATGGCAACACTAGTCACACTAGCGCCCTCTAGTGTCGAGTAGCAGAACTAGGAGCGTCGAGATCCTTCCAGAAATTTCGGGACCGATATGTACTCGAACATTCTAGATGTCGCTACAGTAGAAGGTTCTGGAAACTACCTGAGGCCCTATATAAGACCGGTATAGACCACGACCGGGGCAGTATTGAATTGGCGATACAAGAGAATACTTCGAAGCGAAATAACGGCGAACTGTGTTTTATTATTAGTGTGATTTTAGATTGTAATTAGTGTTGCGTAATTAAAGTGTCAATTTTGGTAATTTAATCGGCAGTTTTTAATTGTCTTGAACCCCAAGCTCGTAACAATATTATCTACAATGTCAAAGGTCTTTGAGATCTTAGTCTATGAATCATTTTTCAAGAATCTAGGACGACATATAAACTGGCAGCAACATGGTTTTTTGTCTGGTAGATCTACTGTCACAAATCTGTTCTTATATGTCACCGATTTAATTGAGAACATTGATAATAAACTACAAGTGGATGCTATATACACAGACTTGTCCAAAGCCTTTGACAAAGTAAATCACGCACTACTTGTCAATAAACTGAGAGCTTTTGGTATTAATGGGACATTATTAAACTGGTGTGCATCATACCTTCAAAGTAGATCTTCGACCGTGGTGATTGATGGGTACTCCTCGCAGCCATATATTGCCTACTCCGGTGTACCGCAAGGCTCGAACTTAGGTCCAGTATTTTTTAACAACTATATAAACGACATTGTTTCGATATTTCAATACTCTAAGGTCTACCTATTTGCTGATGATCTCAAAATAGTTAAAACTATTAGAAGCAACTCTGACGTCGAATTACTACAAGATGATCTCAACAGCCTTATTCAATAGTGTAATAACAACCAAATGTTTCTGAATGCCAAAAAATGTCAACTTATTAGGTTTACCAGAAAACATAATTATATACAGAGTCAATACTATATTGATACTGAGAAACTAATTGCAGTTCGAGCAATACGTGATTTAGGCGTTATACTAGATAGCGAATTAAAATTTACAAACCATTTCGATAACATAATCACCTCAGCTACTAAGTCACTGGGTTTTTTATTGAGGAATTCCAAAGAGTTCAAGCAGCCTTCTACTACAATCAAACTTTACAGTAGTCTGGTTAGAAGTAAACTAGAATACTGCAGTCAAATTTGGAATCCGCACTACAAAATCCATAGCATTAGAATCGAAAGAATACAAAAGCGACTGCTGCGTCATCTTGCGTACCGTTCGAATAGCTATCAAACTAATAATTCCTACGAAAGACAGTTGGCACAATTTAACATCACATCACTACAATCGCGTAGAAGTATCTCAGACATGATGTTCCTATACAAAACGCTCAATAATAGTATTGATTGTCCAGCAATAGTTCAATTATTTAACTTTAAGGTGCCATCAAGAATGCCTATAAATCCGCACGCCTTTTTCAATGTATCCCTTTATAGGTCTAACTTGGGAAAGTATTCCCCTCTAGCCAGACTGGCTCGGACTTATAACGAACTGTCCTCGAAGATTTCTGGCCTCGATATTAATTGCGATAGTTTATCCACCTTCAAATCAAAATTAATCAATTTCTATGAATTAACGAATTAACTAATTATTAATTGTAACATTGGAATTGTTTTTGATTTTTATAGTTTGATTAATATAATATAATATGACAATGAAGATATTTATAATATTGTCAAATAATTCTATTTCTTTTTAATAATTTGTATTTGTTCAATGATGTAATTCAGTTTTTATTCCTTACAAAATAATCAATTCATGTTGTGATTACCCATAAAAAGAAATACAATTATAATGTGTTGAATTTTTTAAGAAAATAATCTTTGTATTACTGTTGTAATTTCTGTTGTAAATCCTAATAAATAAATCAATAAATAAAGGCGCCTACGCAATCAAACAGCTTATCTTGAGAATCCATCACCATCAGAGCACTTGTTTCACAGTTTCCACTAATAGTTCACATGCGCAGACACTTAATACACAAAATCGCACCACTTTTACATATCAAAATCCACTTCAAACCATTATTTAAACAATAGAACAGGAGCAGCAAACCGCTGCCGGTAAAGTTCCCGCCAAAAAACTCTCAATTTGACAGCCATTGACAGCATCAAATCTCCATTACATGTTTTATCAACCGGTTCAGTGCGGGTGACAAGCCAGGCGTGCTATCGATTAATTTTGTGTGTGGCGTATGACACGCGAGTCGTGTCTTTTTAAAAATCGTTTTGCTTTTTTGGAAAATTTATCCAGAACAAAATATTCATTATTTTGCGAGTATTTCATGCATGCAGCTTCGTTTCTGGATATTTTGAAAATTTGAAATATTTAGGGGTTGACAACCTTTTATTCACTTTTCATTATTTTTACTTTGTGGATTTTAAATCATGTTATGGAAAAATAGTCTAATAAGTAACAAATAATAGCACTCATTGCGATCGCTCACAAACTCAAGTTGTAAATAAATTTCTGGAAAACAAGTCTCCTGGTAAAAAAACAATGCGTTTGTCTTATTGTTTAATTTTGCTTAAAATGCTTGAACTGCCGTCTTATTACTATCATATGGCCGAATAGAGCTACGAAGTACCACGTGCTCTTGTGATATGGTATAAGGTTTATTTTTGCTTAAAACAGTTCGAAACCGTTCATGCACAAAAAACCTGCATGGCAACTATGGCAAATATGACGCAATCCACGGGGGACGCCTATGCTCAACAGAGTAGTTTTAAAGGCTGTACCGGTAACGATAAGCGGCAGAGCGAAAAAAGAAAAACGTAAACTATCATTTAAATTAAAAAAAAGACATGAGCGGTCTAGTCTGTTTCCACTAACCTCCATTCTCACATTCGGTATTTATTTTAAGGTTCCAATATTTTTTGCTTTCTACCGACTTCAAAAAGGAGGAGGTAGTCAATTCGACTGTATGTTCTTTTTTATGTTTGTTACCTCATAACTTTTTTCTCCATGAACCGACTTCGATAACTCTTTTTTTTTATTTGAAAGCTGGTGCGCTTCACATGTGATCCCATATAAATTTGATCAAGGTCTGACCAATAGTTTTTGAATTATTCTTAATAATTTTCAAATTAGATATTGAGTTAATTTCTTCAGAATAAATGCAATTTCAAGTTGCACATAAGGCACGGAAACGTTTTTCTACTCGTTATATAATTACATCACAAATTCACAAAAAAATAATTTTATTTGGTACACACATATTTATATAAAACACGTTTACACAATATTGTACATATGTTATCAGATAGCTCACGAAAAATGTTTTGTGCCAGTGTGTGTTTTTAAATGTCTTTGCATATCATATTTTCTAATACATCTATATTCACAGATATTACACGAAAAAGGTTTTTCTCCAGTATGTATTTTCATATGGGTTTGCAAATGACTTTTTGTAATACATCTAAATTCACAGATATTACACGAAAAAGGTTTTTCACCGGTGTGTCTTTTCATATGGGTTTGCAAATCAGTTTTTCTAATACATCTATATTCACAGATATTACACGAAAAAGGCCTTTCGCCGGTGTGTTTTTTCATATTATGTATTTGCAAACGAACTTTTGTAATACATCTATATTCACAGATATTACACGAAAAAGGTTTTTCACCGGTGTGTATTTTCAAATGGGTTTTCAAACTACTTTTAAAACTAAATCTAAAATCACAGATATTACAAGAAAAAGGTTTTTCACCGGTGTGTTTTTCCATATGTCTTTGCAACTTACTTTTTCTAATACATCTATATTCACATACATTACACGAAAAAGGTTTTTCACCTGTGTGTATTTTCATATGTCTTTGCAACATACTTTTTCTAATACATCTATATTCACAGATATTACACGAAAAAGGTTTTTCACCGGTGTGTATTTTCATATGGGTTTGCAAATTAGTTTTTGTAATACATCTATATTCACAGATATTACACGAAAAAGGTTTTTCACCGGTGTGTATTTTCATATGGGTTTGCAAATTAGTTTTTGTAATACATCTGTATTCACAGATATTACACGAAAAAGGTTTTTCTCCGGTGTGTATTTTCATATGTATTTGCAAACAACTTTTTGTAATACATCTATATTCACATACATTACACAAAAAAGGTTTTTCACCGGTGTGTATTTTCATATGAGTCTGCAAATCTCTTTTTCTAATACATCTATATTCACAGATATTACACGAGAAAGGTTTTTCACCGGTGTGTATTTTCATATGGGTTTGCAAATGACATTTTCTAATACATTTATATTCACAATTATTACAACAGTACATTTGTTTAGCGACATGCGCTTTAAGATGTGTCAAAATGTAACGTTTCTGAGATGTTTTAAATTCGCAAATATCACAATTAAATATTTCTATTTGTTGTGGTATTGGAGTTAGTTCTACTTGTGTCCGAACTGCAGTGGTGTCCGAGTTCTTTTGCGTCTTATGACTGTATGAAATGTGTTTGGCAAGAATGTCTTTTGTTGGAAATTTTTTAGTACAATCATAACATTCAAAAATGTATTTAGTTGATGTCTCAGATGTTTTTTTCTTAAGTATATTTACACTCTTTTGTTTCAAAATTTTCTTTTTCATTGTCTTTGCAGGATGCTTTCCTTTTTTATTAATTGGTTGATTATCTTTTTTGTTTGATTCTATAGAAGGGCCTTCAAAATCGAGGTTTTCTTCACGAACATCGTTTATGTTACAATCAGTAGAATTTGATTTAATCTTCTTTTCAGAAGTTTCTGAAAAATTATTTGTCGAAGTTAATATTTTTATTTATTGTAAGTTATTGCATCTTTATTGCAAGATACCTTTAACTGTTTACAATGGGCGGAGTTTATGCCTTATGGCATTCTGTTAATTAACCCGGGGAGAGATAGAGAAATTGTAATATTTTACATAATTATACTAAATAATGTTGCTAGATATAAAGTATTTTAGCCAATTACTCCGAATAATGGTTCTCATATTCATTTTTGGAGGGAATGAATGGTTCGTCTGACCATGTTTTTTTTTTATAGGATAAGGGTGCCAAACGAGCACACAGTCCACCTGATGGTAAGTGGTTGCTGCAGCCCATAGACATCTACATCTATCCTCTATTCCAAATCAAAATGTATATGCGTTGTCACCCGTGAGGACTAAGACGGAATGCCTCATTTCCAGTAAAAAGGGCCTCCGGCCACCTGCACTCACCAAGCGAAACGCAGAGGTAAACCTCTACTTCACGTTGGTATTCTGTGAGGTCGTGGTACCACCTCGGTTCGGGCCGGCCCATCCGTGCGACAGAAAAAGCTGCCGCGTAGCTCTACCACTGTTATAAGTTATAATTACATTAATCTAATAATCGCTGTTTCGAATTCCACACAGAACTAGTTATACACACACGGTCGAAGATGGCGTGTAAGTGCGGTATAAGAGAATTCATCATCGCAATTTGTCCCGTGTGTTTCGTAAGAGGCGACTATGGGTTTGCTAGAAAAATCTGATGGCTTCCGACAGATGGCGGTATAACTACCTCGTTTACTTCAGATGTAAAATATCCAGACCGGCGCCAGGCGACATTGCCAGAGGTGCTCACATCTGGTTCTGCGATCGTCAGTCCTATGCCAAGCGTGACTCTCAAGGCAAATCCTTCCTGAGTAGGGAGAGATCCTTCCATGTTCAGCAGTGGAAGTTTACGGGAAGATTAAGATTCGACGGAACCCATATTGAAGGTCACTAATCAGCTTATGCTCTTCAAGGTACCGCGTAAGCTGGCAGTAAATAATGGATTCCATTATTTTGGAGAACAAGGAGGTGACGGCGATAGGCCTGTATTTGGATAGGTCCCAGCCTGTTTTAGGAATCGCATGCACTAAGGCTGCCTTTCATAAGCTTGCAACGACACCTAAGGAGTAAGAGAATATGACATAAACATAAAAATAACATGAACATAACACAACTGCATTATAACTTTGTAATCTATACTAATATAATAAAGTGGAAGGGTTTCTTCATGAGGAATAGTATAGCATTAGGCTACTTCTCTCAGTTACATATTGATTTTTGCTAACCCGTCAAGCGCTAGGACATTTTATTTTTTACGCGCCAAACGTCAGGTCCTGTACGGAACGTCTCCAGATAGTGGCAGGCACTAATGTAAAAAACTGAACAATCGAAGCTAGACACAGAGCAACAATGAAAAGACTTGCATGAAAGTTAAAAAAAACCGCTATTCCACATTTATTTCTCTATTGGAAAACAGTAGAGAAATATAAATGGAACCGGAACGCTAATAAAAAATCGTATTCCTAAATACGAGGGGTGATCCAAAAGTAATGATAATAGGTTATTTCCAGTGCACATAAAAATCCAAAAAAAATTTTGTTTGCTCTTGTACCCACTAGATTAGAATTTAAAAAAAAATCCGAGATGTACATTCGTTTGAATACGAATCCTCAAAGAAATAACAATCTAAATTGAGAAAAATTAAACGAGAGCTCCCTCTGTTTCAAAAAAATGTCTACCAAAGACATACACGACTTGATGAAACATTGAGGGACTCTGCTCCTCCATATTCCACAGTTGAACGCTGGGCCAATTAGATTAAGTTGGGCTGAACATCCACGGATGATAAACATCGCGAAGGAGGCCCATCCACATCCCTCACTGAAGATAACGTGAAAAGAGTCGAAGACGTCGTATTGGTAGATCGAAGAGTGACCATCAGGCATATAGCTGACGTCACAGGGATCTCATATGGCAGTGTTCAAAGAATCCTCGCGAACGAATTGCACATGGAAAGGATCTCTGCGCGTTGGGTACCGAGAATGTTAACCGACGAGCAAAAGAAATAATTTATCGACATATCGAGGGTTAATCTCGAAAGGTTCTAAGCAGATCAGATTTTTTTTATTACGTTTCGTGACCATGGGCAAGACCCGAATCTACCATTTCAATTTTGAAATCAAACAATAATCAATGGTTTGGAACCGAGCCTCCTCCAGACGCCAAAGAAATTCAAAGTGCCAAGTTCGGCGGGAAAAGTTATGGCGTCCGTTTTTGAAGGAATAATTATGGTGGAATATTTGGAAAAGGGAGCCATTATTTCGGGCTTATACTCTTCACTACGCAGACCAAATAAGAAAATTGCAGGAAGCTATTAAAGAAAACGACGCGGCAAATTGCGAGCGGGAGTGCTGTTTCACCAAGGCAACGCTCCGGCTCACAAAGCCGCAGTTGCGATGGCTGCCAACAAACAGGATTTGAACTGTTCGAACACCCAACCTATTCACCAGATCTAGCTCTCAGTGACTTCTATCTATTTCCTCGGCTCAAGGAACACCTTCGAGGCAAGAAATTTGCAGACGATAGCGAAGTGATGGACGCTGTTGAGGCTTTTTTGGAGAGTGCAGATAATTTTTTTTTCTAAGAGAATTCTGGGATTAGAACAAAAATGGACTAAATGCATTGACTTGTTAGCAGACTATGTGGAAAACTAAATTATTTTTTTAACAATAATCACCGTGTTTAATATTCACTATCAATAATTACTTTTGGATCACCCTTCGTACTCACATCCTAAAAATAACTGAAATCGCAAAGGATGTTAAAAAACGGCAGAGGTGGCTTCGACCGCGTAATAAGGCAAGACATAAAGATTATCAATAGAATCAGACGTTACATTGCGAAAATCCATTATATTAAAAACTACCTGATAATCGCTCGCTTCGCTGGCCGCACGATATTTTATTGCGGAACCTAGATGTGACTAAAGTAATTAAGTATTTAAAAAACAAAATTTTGTATGTATAGCACATCTCCAACTACTTGATGCAAGAGAAAGGAGATGAACTTGATTCCATACAAGCTTGGGCCCGGCGTAAACAAACCTAAAATATGTCTTAGTTTGAAGATTTAACATTTGCTATTTAATATTTTTTCTTTTTATAGAATAAGGGTGACAAACGAGCACACAGTCCACCTGATGGTAAGTGGTTGCTGCGGCCCATAGACATCTACATCTATCCTCTATTACAAATCAAAATGTAGATGCGTTGTCACCCGTGAGGACTAAGATTGAATGCCTCATTTCCAGTAAAAATATAAAAAAATATATTAAAAAAATATATATTTTTGTAGGACTTGGGATTTTGTTTTTATTTTATGTTTTATGATTTGTAAGATATGTAGTAAAATCACTCGTTCTTGTGATAAGTTGTTTGAAAAAATTGAAAGGAACAAAAGAATACAGTTGTGTAGTTATTATTAAATACAGTAAAATAACACTCAACCTTTTTTAATTGTTTAACTATTTTCTGCAATTATCAATAAAATGGCATTTGAAAATACAGCCGGAGGCTGCACATTGTCGGTTCTATTCCTCTCAAAACTTATTACATCATTATTTTCATTATGTGGGCGCAACAAACTACTGTCCTGTGATCCGAGAGAAAATCCAAGGGTAAAGTTAAATAAATCCACGAAAGTAAAAACACGAAATCTATCCAAAAAAAAAAACAAACAGCTACAATTCCAAATGCGCATGCCGCATGACAAGCTGAAACTCGAAGTTAACAAGTTAAGTCTCCTTCGGAATATGCAATGGTCAATGACCATACAGCCTATTCAGTCGTTAATATTCAAATATTTTCCATGTTTTATGACATAGCCTATTCAATCGTTTTCTAAATATATTACTTTATTCAATGTTAATCACTACAGATTCACGTCAACGTTTCAATATTATGATTTTTTTTTAATAAGGAAGGCTATTTTATTTTAAAAATAGCCTTTATTATCTATTGCCATAGACAAAATAAAGAAAGATATTTAAAAACTTTTCGTTATTGCTAAAGCAAAAGCATTATCTTTGTATTTCAGTTAAAAAAATGTTTTTATCATTGTCCCAAGCATTACAGAGATAAAAACCATTTATTTTATGCTTATAAGTTATATTATTTTTTTCAAGCGAGATCATTACAGTTATCACACAGCTTATGGGCCTGAGCCACCCCCTTCATTACCATACTGCATGTTTCATAAACTAAGTGTAATAAGCTGAAGTGGCAATGGGCCGAAGAACCGACAAACCGATGGGGAAGAGAGGTTCTCGAGTGGCAACATTGTACTGGTAGACGTAGTGTAGGGCGGCCCCCCACTAGATGGAGTAACGACCTGGTAAGACATGCAGGAAGTCGATGGATGCAGGTGAATAAGGCCCGTGCTTTGCGGCATTCCTAAAGAAATTTGCAAAGACAGGTTGCTTACCAGTTGTAAGTATACCATTAATTCCTGTGAAATTAATCCATCTTAGTGACGTACATCATACTGCCTGCATTTATACAGGGTCAAAATATTTTTAAAATATGTTAATAATTAAGTAAAAAAAAAAAATTACTAAGGAAGCTCATTATTTGACAGGAATAACCTAATGCGACAGTGTAGTTGTTCTCATGCAAAACAAAATGTGGTCGTTAACTGTAACAAATTGTAAACAATCCTACCCTAGTGAACTCACTCAAGGTGTAACAGAATAGGTCACTATCTTTTTTTTTTTTTTATAGGAGAGGAGGCAAACGAGCGTGCGGCTCACCTGATGGTAAGTGACTACCGCCGCCCATGAACAACCGCAACACCAGGGGAATTGCAGATGCGTTGCCGGCCTTTTAAAAAGGAGTAGGCTCTTTTCTTGAAGGTCCCTAAGTCGTATCGGTCCGGAAAAATCGCTGGTGGTAAACTATTCCACAAAGAAGTTGTG